ACTCTTCAATTTTTTTAACAAGAACCTTTTTTATGATCTAATTCTATATTAAAAAAACTCTTTTAAAAATTTTTTTTGTATATTTCAACTCTAAAATATATGTAGATTTGAAATATGTAATAAAAAAATATGAATTTTTTTAACCTATTTTGATAAAAGAAAAAAAAAAACTACGAAACAAAAGGGTTAATGCCTCATACATGTGCAACTGATTTTTTTTCCATAATGAAATATGTGAAAGGTCCTGATCCTTAATTTCAGTTCAGCACTAAATAAATCACCTCCATGTTGAAGAAACATAATTATCAACCATCTTAATCTATACAACCAATAATTCGTTGGTTCTATAGTAGCTTTTTGCTTGGCATACATTCCAAACCGAAACATTCTATCAAAGTACATTAGTGATTTTACACCTACTGAATCAATATTTCCCTGATATCAATGTGGCAATATCCCCCCCCCCCCCCCGTCATCATCACGAGATTAACTTAGGGCAACTTCAGAAATGACTCGCACAGTAATGTCTAGACATTTTTTTTTCAAATATTAGTAACTGAATACCAAAGAATATAGCGACCTTTTACAATGACATTACCTTTGGCGATGATTACAGACTTCAGTGCTGCGAAGTGTTAGAACCTTATCACTTCTATCGGCGTGCGTGGCTAGGCAGGACATTTCCGAGAAACGAAATTCTAGTAGCACTGGTTTAAACAGGAGACTTCCTTGAAATGTTTCGTCTAGCTAGACACAACATTTCTCAACTATGAGCAACATTTTGAAACCTTCCCTAAAATGTTCCGTCTGGAGACGTGTTCCACGTACGTTCAACTAATCAGACAAAAGTTTTGCTTCTGAAGGATGACGGGTAATTTTCAATATGGCTATGGCTCTCATTGTGAAATCATAGAAGGTGGAAATAGATGCTGATTTAATTGAAGAAATACGGGAAAAGTATAACTGTCTAAGTCCTTTTTAAATGTTTATATACTCATTAAATTTATAATCATAGAAATTTCAGGGTTGACAATATTTTATAATGTGCTCGGTGATGACGTGCTATTTCTGATGATTTGTTTAAAAATTATTCATCGCCAAAAGTTTGCCAAATTTGTCGTACTCCGTGCTGATCGTGTGAAAAGAATGTTACTGTTATATAATATAATAGAATTCTTTTTTATTAAATTTAAGGGGAATAATTTTTTTAAATATGTTTTTATATGTTAAATATGTTTTTATACTTTTAAATTGAAATTGCATAATCAGCAATTATGTTAAAATCAGCGATTATTATTAAAACATAGATTATGTAATAATGAGGATACACATTAAATTTGCATGCTATTATCTTCATGTTATTAATGAAATGCATTTTAGATTATAAGCACATTAAGAACTATAGTTTTATTATAAATGCTACATATCGAAACATTGGAAATTTATGGATTTATTATTATAAATGATGAAAAACATTTATATATACATTCATTAATATAAATCTTATTCATTACATTAACACTAATAAACATACATCAACAACTTCTAAACCATCGCATCTCTCTCGCCATGTGTATGTAAATACATGACTTATTAGATGTGTGTGTGTATATATATATATGTATGAATACAAAAATGAACATTGGCAAAAAGTTTATCTGAAGTTACCTCTAATTCATATAACGATTAGGTAATTGGCAGCAAATGTAATCATCATTTCTTTGCACATTATCATATTTATGGAATACACAGCTGAAAAAATAATTGAAGTGAATTTTGTGCATTAGGCTAGTCATTAAAATTCACCCACTTACACACAACCTTTGCTTTTGTAACTATACTTGTGAATTTAAACAAAAAAATTGAGCAAGTAGCCTTTATGAAATATTTAACATTTTGGGGATGAAATAAAACTTTTTGACTAATCACAAAACGAATATCAGTAAATGGAATTATATTATGTACATAAAAGTTATTAAATAAATATATGGATACAAAAATAACTATTTACAATAATGAAATCAAATATATACAACAGATCATTACAAAGAATAGGATTTTGCACGTTTTTCCTCTTTAGTTTTTAAATCGCCAGAATCGAGATAAAAGTGATTTATACTTAATAGCCATCACCTCTCTATTATTTTTCATAACTAACAATAAAGTTTAAAATGAAAAAAGTATGAGCGATAATAAATACAAAACGGAAAAGCAATCGTCACTTGAAAAGAAACGTCACTTTCGCCAATCTGAGGGATAACTGATTCTTGTTTGACTTTCAGCCTGTTTACCAAGTGAAATGGCAACCTGATTTCATCGAAAAGTACTTCTGAGAACTGCTCTTTCTAATGTTATGTTACGGCAATAAATATCTTATGTGATAGCTGCATTATGTGTTGACAAGGAGAAACTTAATGGAAATTTCTTTTATTTGCAAAAAAATAGATAATTGAAAATTATATTTACAGGCCAAAAGATTGTATTTAGTGCTTTTTAAATTAAGAATAACTGATTTTTTATCCATAAAAAAATTGATACTAGAGAGATAAGATTTACTGAAACGACATGTCTTTAGTCACCTGTCATGGGATACATTATAAATTGTGTAGACTGAATGCTAGCTAAGTATTATGTTGTGCTAAAATGAGACATTTCTCAAAATCTGTAGTATCATTCTAAAGGCAGAAAATATTGCTACTGAGAGAAAAAAAAGTGACATATTGGGTGCTGAAAACTAAAACATTTCTACTCATAATTTATTGGAAATTTTCAACTTGGCAACTTGAGCAATTGAACTCTGCAACTGAACAAAAAATTATGAGAAGTAACTTAAACAGCTTATGAGAAATGTTAAATAAAGCAAATAAATATTGATTTTTTTTTGTAAATTTTGATTCCTTTAAAGTAATAAATGTTTCACTGTTTCATAAACAACTACTTCATTTTTATTTTATTTTGTAATTTTTGCACATGAACTTGCTGGATTTAAACTGATGATCTAAAATTTGGAAAGTTCTAAAATTCAGAAGTCCCAATAAATCTGAATCTTGGACTTTGTACTGTACAGGAATAAATATAAAACTTTACATTGAAAGCCTTCCTGCAGATCAGTTTTTTTCTGAAAATGACCAGTATCTCTTACAACATAAACAAATGCTCAAACTGAACATAATTTCTGTAAGAAGACCACCATTATGGAAAACTAACATAGTGTAAATACATACTATTTCCAAGTATAATCAGTAAATAAGTACTAAGATAAATCAATCAGGGATTTATCTTAGTACTGGACAGCTGGTACAACTACTTCATATTTTTTAATTTTGTAATTTCTACATATGATCTTACTAGATTTAAACTGATGATCTAAAATCTGGAAAGTTCTAAAATTCAGAAGTCCCAATAAGTCTGAATCTTGGACTTTATACTGTATAAAAGTTTATACTTTATAAGTATAAAAACTTTACATTGAAAGCCTTCCTGCAGATCAGATTTTTTAGTTAATGCTGATATTGGCAAAAAATGGTGATTCAATCTTTTAAGTTTTATTTATCATATTATGAATAAACTAAAAACTAAACTCGGTGGTGTAACAGCCCTAATGGGCCAAGGCCTGCAGTGCCCAAAATCTGCTTTCTGGACCGTGGCCCCCGGGGTGCATAAGCATATGCCCTGAACAAGTGGTCAGCTTGGTCGCAGAACCCCCAGTGTTTAGCCCCCAAGCAAACTTGGTACTCATTTTATCGACCCAAGTGATGGAAATCAAGGGATGAAAGGCTGAGTCGACCTTGCCCAGCTCGAGAATCAAACCCTGGACCTGTGGTGCTGCTGCGCGATGCGCTAACCACTATGTCACCGGGCCTCTATATTATGGATACTGCTAGTATTTATATATATTTATAAATTTACATACAAGTTTATTTTCGATCCCAAGAAAAAAAGTAGAGAGTAATAAAAAATTGGAATTAGAAGAACTTTCTCTGCATTCAGAAAGCTTGTAAATTTACACTTATTACCAGATTCAAGCTTTGTGCAGATTTTTTGGACATATTACTCTCTTACAATGCTGGTAATTGAATTTCACACTTTTGGATACTCATTCTGCTTGGGTGAGGGAACTTTAATTTTTTTCATCTTATGTGGAGTGTCTTTTTTCGTAACTTGCCATTGGGCTTTTTGATTAAAACAAACTAAGAAATCATTATTTCCTTTGTAGGGTATTCATATGACTTTTTAACTGCAATTTATATAATCATTTCGAGCAATACAAAATATCTATACTAAATGATACCTGCATTTTCTTCTCTTATTTAAGTTTATTTAATTTTAAATATTTGTTGATTCTGCAGCCTGACCAAAGCTTCTAAAGGTAGCTCTTGTTTGATGAAGGTATTTACATAACATATCAATTCATTTAATATTTTATTGTTTTTACTACTGCATCTTTTTAAAGTTTTACATATATTTTCATTTGCTTATTTCACTGAAGATGTCTTTATCATTTTAATGTGAAAAGCTCTAAGCTGGTTTTATTACTGTCAGGAGTTAATTTCTAAAATTAGTAGTCTCATAATTAAGGAAATAAATTATTATGAAGGAACCAGGGCATTTTTAATTGTTATATACAGCCTATGTGTCTTCTAGACACAGACTTATATTACTTTAAAAGTGGAACCTTAAGTTTTTGAATCCAAATTTTAGTTTGTATTTATTTTCGTACTCAGTAGTTGAAAAAAAGCAATAATTCGCTGACATAGAAGAAAAACAGCCTTTTTCAAAAGGCTTTTATATATAAGATCAAGTGAATTATTTAAGGTTAGAGGTTTTAATTTATGGACAAAGAGCTCACTTTTAGAATAATGAAAAAATAATTTTTAATACATACATTACTTTATGTTATCCAGACTTAAAAGATGTATAAACTAAACAGCATTTAGGTTCAAAACTACAAAATCAATGCCATAAAAATTTAAGCAGAACAAAATGTTTAAGTCACATACTGTGGCAATCCAAACATTTTGAGGATTTAGCTCTTCTGCAATTTCCACCTTCATTCCACATTTTATTTGATCTATAGGCATAAAACCTGCATCAAGCTAAATAGAAAATAGAATTTAAACATTAGTATTAATTTTACAATGAATAATTTTAATATGAGTAATCCGTCATCAAATAAATCTCCCTGTGTCATAGCTACAAAACCATAAGTATGAAACACCAGCTTTGCGATGAAGATATTTCGGATGAACTCCTAAATGATTTAAATTAACTTTATAATACATAATTCAGGTTAATGACCTATTTCTAATGTGGTTCTAATGTGAAATATATTTAAAGTTAATTATTTCATATGAATAAATATTAAAATTAAAATTAAAAAATTCTCTTGCACCATTGCTGCAAGGAATGAAATTTGAATTTAACAAATATTTATTATTCGTATAAAGCTAATTTAAATTTTAAATTCTGAAATTTTAATTGCATACAAATAAAAGATTAATTATTGCTGCAAACTAATTTGCAATATCATTTAAGTTCTGAGAGCATATGTAAATTAAGTGCAAGTACCTAAAACCATAAAAAATATATAATATTTCAAAAAATTAATCCTAAAAAAGGTTTTTAAAAAATTTCTAAGACTAAATTAATTTGCATAAGGGAATAATTATTGAGCAGGCAGGAGACAGATCTTATCAAGGGTAAGTTGCCTCCAAACCTAACTCTTCAATTACTCAATTCGAGTTTTGTCATCCATATAGGCATGGGTATAGTAATATTCAAAGCCAAAAGTAAAACCAAATGTAGTGAATTACTAAAAAGGAAATTTAAACAGAAGGAATTTTGAGAAATTTAGAAAGCAACTTGACTAAGAATCAAAATATTACTTAAATGTAAATTTGCCAATGCAATAAGAGTAGAAAACCAAAGTAATTTAGAAACCTTTGCCTATTTGAAAACTTTCCCCAGCATGAATTATGCATGTAAATCAAAAATAAACTATATACAACTATATACAATCTATAAAAAATACAAAATAATTTTAATCAGGCAAGTAAATAGTAAGTTTTAATTTAACTTACTAACTACACATTTGTATTCTGGAGAGTGGAGTAGCATTTAATAAATTATGATGCAATTAAAATTTCATAATTTAGAAATTAAATTTAAATTAGCTTTATATGAATAAAAAATATTTGTTAAATTTAAAGTTAATTAGTTATTCTAAAATTTAATTTTTTTGACTAAACTTACTAATTCTTCTTACAGTTTTATACCTTAGTGTACAAAGTATTATCAGATAAACTTATTAACATTTATTGGTGTAAAACAATATTAAATATAAATATTGACTGATTAAACATTACTTGAATCTTCATAAAAATTTCTAGAAATATACACAGATTATTAAGATAATTAAGATTCAATAAAATTGGAAATTAAAAAAAAAATGGAAATGGAATTTGCATAATCTAAGTTTTATTAATTTACCAAATTTAACTTATTGCTGAAAAGTATTTTCCTTACTAAAGTTTTAAAATTAAAAACCTGCAGATTCAGTGGTCTAGCAGAGGAGCTGGCAGCTATGCTGTGTTATTCTTAAAAGATTTAAAAATATTAAAACAGAGTAAGAAATCAGAAAAGTAAAAGAGTTTCCACTTAAAAATATAACATAAAAGTAAAAATTTGGATTACTCAAAAGTCACACAGTTGCAACATAATATATACTATTGTGCTAAGAAAGCATGTAGCCTTACTAAGAAGGGCTATTTTGAGAACATGATATTACTGAATTTTATTTCTCCCTTGCAGAATTTTTTAATCATTATTCTTTTCCCGTGCTAAAAAGAGCAGTTGGCTAATCTTTGGAATACGGTAACAGGTAGTTTGGAGACATTTTGGTAAGGGGATAAAAGTTACTAGCTAGGACTTTAGTAGTGTACATGGATAAAGTCAAGACTGTGCGCAATGCCATTTTTGTGCAATTCTGGGATGTTTTTTTAAGTGAAAATAGGTCGACGTGTACATGGATGATACCATGTATGTGCAATTCTTAAAAACACTGCAAGCAGTTTGCAATTCTGCACTTTCTTCTAATTTCGCACCTAATCTTCATTATGATTAAGCACTTTTGTTCCATAAAAGTTCTAATATAAGCGTGATTCGGCTAGCAGATTGTTGGAAAAAATGTTGAGGGGAAAAAAAAAAAAACCATGCCTTTACTTTGTGAAAACAAAATGGCGTCCAAACAAAAACTAGCAGGTTGCTGTAGCAGGGTTGGTTGCCAAATTTTTGCAAAAAAAATCACCAAGTTACCATAATTCAAAGATTAACCGAGCGGTTTGCAAAGAAATTAGACATGTTTCAGTAGAATTCCATTACGTGTTTATAAGTACCTTGCCCATAAATTTAATTTTACATGTAACATCATTTTTCTCTGGAGAGAAAGGATAAATTTTGCATTTAGCTTTACTATAATTTTTGTTTTTGATATAGTGTATAAACCAATAAAAATTGTAAAACCACACATTTAGAATTATCTGCCACAAAATTTGGGGGAACATTTATAAGTTTGCATCTCGAAGTTTAAGTTTTTCCATTTCAAGTTTGCATCTCAAAGTTATTTTACAGTATTGATACACAAATATGAGGCAGCACGTTTTCACTGGGTTGAATAGTAAATATACAACCTTGAACATACATTCTTCACAGTGGTTAAATTATTCCTTATCTTTTTGCATCCAACTAAATTTATTTCCCAAAAGTATTCTGCACCAATCAAAACCTCAAGTGGCTTCATGCCGTCAGCAAAATACACGTTGGATTCATGGTAGTGGCATTTTAACATTTTCTGTACTGATCTATCCAGGGTGACCTTTGACCATAAGCATTTGTTCATTTTCTCTACGATTACACTTCAAGTTCGATTCTTTTTTAAATTACATTTTTGTAATTGGATTCTTGTTACTCCTATTATTTTCCCCTCCAGATTGCAATTTCAAATGTATAAACAATTAAATTTCCTTTCTTATAATTGGGGGTTTTAACTCATCTGCTAATGATTTCATGATAAAGGAACTCATTGAAGCATTATCAAATTATCAAATAAAACCCTGATGATTTTCAATCTATAAGGCATTACAATTCTCATGGACATGTTTCCAATAAAACTGAACTTGAGTCTTTAACTTTTTTGCAATTTAATACAGAAAAAACTATTGTCTACCATTTTTTTTTATATTAATACTTTCATCGGGTGAACTTTAGGTTTGCAAATTTATTTTCCTGAAGGAACTGCTCTTGTGCTGATTACAATAATTACATTTTCTACATGGATTAATTTTGTCCTACAATTAACACTCAATGGGATGTTTTGTAGCATTTAAAACAACGACCTTTGACCTTAAGTTTGTTTAATTTTTCTGCCGGCAAAAGAACTTTGCATTGAAATTAATCATTGTTTGTGCCACAGAATGCACAGTTAAAGTTTATACTGGTTGAAAAATGCAGCTGTCTGCTAACTAACACATTTTAATTGTTTTTTTTTTTTTTTTAAATTTATTTATTTATTTATTTCATCCTTAAAATAATTGCTATAAACCATCATATTTTTAGATTTCTTTGAATGCTGTAATAAGCTGGAAGTTGTGGAACATTCTGTTTCAATTTTTAAAAATTCAACTAACACAATGAATGACTAACTTATCGCAACTACATTTAACGTTTCCAGGGATTGAATATTAGTTTCTATTTCATTTAATTTCCAAAGTGCTATGATATCACACATGTGTTTCACTGGATCTACGCCTAGTAGCTTTGTCATACCACTGTTAATTAAGATGTCATTTTTTTTGAAACATTCTTTTAGCAAAGTTTTGATTTTATTGCAATTTTTACTTGATATAGCAAATCCTTTAATAGCATTCAGTGCAATTCCACCTAAGAAACTTATCAAGAATGAAAATTTTTCAATGTCAGATAAAATTTTGTTTTCATGAAGGGAACTTTTTAAATTACTCCAAAAATCTAGTCTAGAGCTCCAGATAATGTAGATGCGAATTTCGGACTTTGTACTGCACAAAAACCACTGCGAAAAGAATTTTTTCTAATGGATTTATTAGAAAAATGAAATGCATATAAGCAATTTTATGTCAAGAAAACTCGTCAAACTATTGGCCAAAGAAAATAGTTTCATTTTCCACTCATGTAAGTTGGCAGCATTTTTTATTACATTACCTCAATTTTACAGAGAAGCAATAGTAAACAGGGTCAACTGTAATATGCAAGAGTTCTTATCATGATAAAAATATACTATATGACATATTTCTTGAAGACATAAAAAAGGAACACAAAACTGTGAATTCTAGTTTAATAATATTGTATGAATAAAAAATAAATAAAAAAAAGCAGGGGTGCTAATTCAACAATATGTTTAAGAAGCAAAGGTATGACAGCAGAATTCAGATCCAAAACTGATTTAGGAAGTTTTAGTCTGCTGTTTTGATCTGGGGGTGGGGGGGGAACTTATTTTAACATTAATTATGTATGCTATCCCTGAGCATACATAATGATGTTCTAAGCAGCTAAATGAAAAAATAAAGTCACCTTTTGAGAATAGGGAAAATTCAAGGTAACCAAAAAAGTTCTTGCCATTTTGGACAGTCACAGAAGAAAAAGTCATAAAACAAATAATAATCACCACTAATCCTCAAAGTAATCATCAACGGCATCTAGTGCTTTTTGCCAGTGGGTAGCTTAGCTGTGTGATGCCATCACGGTAAAACTCATGAGTCTTGGATGCAAAGAAGTCTGCAAGGACCTATTTGAGGTCTACCCAGTTGTTAAAGAATTCCCTTAAAGATGGCTGTCCAGGGAATGGTAAAGGTGGTAGTCTGTTGGTGCGAGATCTGGGGAGTATGGTGGATTGGGTAGTGTCTCCCAGCTCAGTCGTTGGATGGTGTTCCTGGCCTCCCGAGCCACATGCGGCCTGGCATCGTCATGGAGGAGGAGTACAACCCTCACGATTGATTAATGCATAAGTTATGCATAAGTGTCTGCATAAGTGTCTCTTTATGCATAAGTGTCTGACGCATACGTT